TGTTTTTTCTTTCCCCCCCCCCCCCCCTTCTCCTCTCCCACCCCCTCTTTCTTTTCTGTGTCATCTTTTTTGGTAGAGCACAGTGAATATACTTGTAATCTAAAGGGCTTTGCGATCGGTTCCAAATGCATGGTGTGGACATCTCTGAAGTGGTGTGAGGCTCGCATTCTGGAGGTATCTGAAAAAGGTACCAGGGTAAGTATCACTTGAATGCTTTTTCTGCATTCATAAGAACTGATCCTTTTCTGTTTTCCTCCACACTTGAATTACTTTGCAGAAGTTTGTTACAGAAATCAAAATATTTAGTATTGAAAATACTGATTGTGGATTTCTAGACTACATAGAAACAGTTGCCTCACACTGAGTGGATACTGTATGTCAAAACTTCATACTCCTTCAGGTCTTATTCCCCTAAACTGAGTGGAGAAAACCAGAGACAAATATCTCGGTTTTAAGATGCACGCTCCCCCCAACCCCCCATGCAGTACTGTTATCTCTGGATTGCAAGCTGATATTCTGCTATGCAGCTTTATTACTGATAAATGCCCATGACATTTGGCATCATTTTACTGACCCTTTGGAAAATTAGTCTTAGAGCAATAGAAATTCAGGAAGAAACTTAAATTTTAGTGTAACTTTTATTAATAATACACAAGTTCAGTGAAAAATGTCTTATTGAATGAGCAAGTGTGCTTCAAGGTGACTGGAGGGAGTTAACTTTAATACTAATTGTAATATAATGGGGTGCCTTTTTTCCCCAAGCTGTGAGATAAATAGGTAAATGAGAAATAAAGTTCAGTTCTCTTCAGTTCAGGCACCTACTAATTTTATATATATAGAGAGAGAGAGAGAGTGTGTGTGTATATGTGATATGTATATTTTTATACATTATATATATATATATGTTTTAATTTAAGGTTGCAAATCCAAACGATCATTTCACGGAAGTAACTTTTTTGAAGATTGAATGTCTGAGATTAGAAGCCAACTTTTTGGCTAGTAGAGTTCCTCGAGTATCCAAAGCTAGCTCTAGCTACGTTCAATAGATGAGTGTCGGTGCTAATGCCCAAGTTAGGCATCAAATGAACCTGCAAACAAGTTTCCTGCTGGCTCTGGTTTTGTAGGTGTTTTCTAGCCTTTGTCTCCCAAGGTGCTTGGGTTAGGATCCTTTCAGTCTCAAGAGAGCCGTGAGCTGGGGTGCTTTAGCAGGAACTGCATGTGAAATACTTAAATTTGGCGATTCTGTGGATCAGGTTTGGTAGTGATATTCAGCTTTGCTAACAGTTAATTCTTACACATCTGTTCTTCCTTGGAAGATCGGAGTTCAAAGCTTTCTCTAAGCTAATGAATCCTCAGCTGTATTTTGCCTACTACCGTGTTTTGTAGAGTGTACGTTTACGGAGTGTATTTTCAGGTTCCACACTAGTGCTAGATACGAGTTGGCTCTGTCTGTACAGGTTTTGAATCTGTCCAGTGGCAGTGAGGAGACTGTGGATCCTGAGAATGTGTGGAATGGTATTCCTGACTGGGCTTGCAGATCATCTGAGGTATGCTGGTTGTAGTAGCTGAAAACTGGGGAGTAAGAGGGGGAAGGGAAAAAGCACAGACTTTTAAAAATGGCCTTCTAAGTTTAGCTGTGATTGCGTTGCCGTGAGAATAGAAAGGCAAAGCAGTTAAGTGATCACGTTGTTTTTTGTGCTCTAAAAGATTTATGTAAGCCGATAAAATTTTTAGCCATTTGGACTAACGATAGTGAATTCAGTCTGGGTGTAGTGTAGTGAACAGTGCTTGGATGAAGAAATGTTACTGGAAGGCTACTGTTAGTCAAGAATTTTAGAATAATGCTGGAGATGTATGGAGTCTCACAAATCACGCTAGCAGAGTATGTAACTGGTCCATTTTGAAAAATACTTCCTAATTACTTGGAATAGAAAAGAGAATGAGGTTTTGAACAGTGTTGTTCATGAAGCACAAAACCAATGAAGAATTCTTGTCTAGAATCTAAAACCAGTTGATCAGCAATGTTACTGAAGATGATAGCAGAATGCATTTCCAGTTCATTGTTTGTATATAACTTTTGCCTGGAAGCAAAAAAGGGAAAAGGCACTTGTAGTGAGTTATAGGAGGAAAACAGGGCTGAGTAGGAGTCCAGCAGTGCTGATGTAACAAGTTAGTGTAGTATTGAAAGAAATGCATCAATGGAAAACTATTTTGGGCAATTGTGCCTGCACTTCCTAACAGAATCCCCCTTTGTTTAGGCAGTTGCCCATGCAACAGATAACTTGGAGTCCTTACGAGAGGAGTCAGTGCTTCAAGGTAAGACTACTTTCGGTCTACCAAAGGGTTTGTGTACTCTATCTTTGGATGCTTTCTAATTTTCCAGTATATATTCTAGGAAACTCATTTGAAATGCCTTTGCTGTATTTTATTTAATCTAATACTGTGTCTGTAATTCTTTTAGTGACTTTAGTTCGTATACTGTCACAGCTTAACAGTGATTATAGGCAATGAAAACTACTACTGTGTCTTGAGTAGAAATTGGTTTAACATGTATTTGTTCAGCCTAGTGGATTGAGCCCTGTGGACAAGCTGGGGAGGTATGCTCAGAGTATAGGTTCTTGTAGGGCTTTGGGCATGGGCTACCACCATGCTTCCCCCCCTCCACACGCATTTCTGAGGCAGGATGACTGACTGCTGGACAGAAATGTTAAAGATTGCAGTTTTGGACTCGAATGCCCAAATCCTTTAGTGGGTCCTGGTCTCTGACTCTAAAACTGAAGTAACACCATCTTAATTGTTGCAAAGATAGTTTGTGAATAGCGCATGTAAATCTTCAATGCTACTTGGAACTTTGGAATGTTACTGAAGAACCCAAGTATCTATTTTGTGTACCAGAGAAGTCAGTAGAGGCTTTTTTTGGTTGCGCGCTATTCATATAACGCGTAGAACCACAGAGTAGTTGAAGTTGGAAGGGATCATTTGTCTAACCCGCCACCCCAAGCAGGGTCAGCTACACCAGGTTGCTCAGAGCCATGTCCAGTCAGGTTTTGAATATCTCCAAGGCTGGAGACTCCACAACCTCTCTGGGCAACTTGTTCCTGTATTTGACCAGTGTTTGCCTGAAGGAGACTAAATTAACCTTATGTAATTATGTACTTACCTTATGTAAGTACCACTTGCATTTTCAGTGACTGAATTGGTAACTGTATTTACATACAGCTGTGTTAAGAGCTGTCTGGTTTATAGCTGTCTGTTTCCGTTTCAAACGTATGTTTTGTGGGTTCTATACCACTTCCATACTTTTTCTTCTTGATGCTGACTACTGTTGTCTAAAACCGACCTCTGTATGCTCTTACATATTCCATGTATTTTTTTTACCTTATGCACCCTCTCAGCAAGTTTTTCCTACTAAATTTAAGCCAAAGTCACGTACCCATAATGCACAGAATTGAATTTTGCTGAACACCTGGCCCATTGACTGTAAAGACAGTTTAAACATAACATATTCAGTCCACAGAATGCAAAAAAAACTCCTGCAATGGCTCATGTTAAGCCTGCTGAGGGATGGAATGGCTTAACTCGGAACTGGTGTCTGGGAACAGTGCTCACTTAATCTGCTTGGGCATTTGATTATTTAAACTGTCTTGGAATAGTTTTTCATTATACAATAACTTTTCAGAAAGGTAGTCTTTATACGTAGGTAAGTCTGAAGGTTTGTAGAGCTATGTTTTTTAGATATTAATGCATTTGCATAAGCTTCTAGAAATGTGTAATCTTTTTTATTCCTTCTAGAAAAGCAAACTGGCTGCAGTTCAGATTTAGCTGAAGATCCTTGTGTCCTCCAGCATTCCTGAAACTGGGTGACATTACTTGTCCACCACGATGCTGAACAAGTACCCATGTACACAAACATTCCTCTGAAAATGTACTTTTGAGAGAACAAGACTATAAGCAAATAGCAACATTCTGAATGTTTCTCTTATGTAATTGAACAAATGCCTGTCACTACCATACTTCTCTGTCAAAGCACAGTGCTTGTTGGTAGACCGTTTTGTTGTCAGCTTGGCATCTTAACAAAGCTGTCCTCTCTTTACTTAACTAAGAATATGCAGCCTTTGACTGGCTTTTCTTACTGAATGTTTGTGTGCATGAACTTGTATTGAGCTGTTAGTGGGCTTTCCTTGAACAAAGGTTTCTTGTGAGCTACTGTATAGGCTACTGTGTTGCACAATACTGCTTTCTGATGTTCACTTTCTGAAAAGTTGTTGTGGTAAGATAGTTTTGTTTTTTTTTTTAAAGCTGAGGGTATTTTGGGTTTTTTGTCTCTTGGAAGAGACAAAATCTAGTTTTGGTTTGAAAAATAGTATTTTGGTTTGAAGTCCAAAATAGTTATTTTGGTTTGGTGCTCCCACTAAGCAATGGAAGAAGCTAGAATAAAGCTTGTGCTGGAGTATGCTGAGCTTTTTTTTTTTTTTTTTTTTTTTTTAGTTAATGACTCTCTCTCTTTCCATAGGCATATGTCCCCAGGCTGTGTGCATGCAGAATTTCTTTGGCTGTACTACAGTTAGTTGTAGCTATGGTTACCAGTTCTGTTTTGACCCTAAGCAGTCCCCTAGAGCAGTGTCAGTTGTACTGGCTCCTTTTAAACGCCACATAATGTCCTTAAGTGTGCTAACTAAAACCTTTCCTGTAAATGGGAAGCAGAACTGGTAAAAACAGTTCTGCTGCATGCATACAGTGTGGTAGAGACCTCTTCTTAAACAGCTGCAGCCTTTCATACCTTTTGTTCTCTTCTTCTCCTCACATGTTGAAAAGAGATTTTTATTTGTGGGGTAGTCCTGTTCCATGTTACTGCATGGTATAGGCTCTTCAGCCTCTTGGAGAGCTACAGACTTGAGAATTCCATGTCTCTGACGTGATAGTCTTCCTTAGTATCACAGATCAGCTGCTACTGCTTACTCCATAAGAGACGCATGCAAATTTTCATTCTCTTAATAGACAAGACACAGTGGTGAGCTGAAAAGAGTTTAATTAGGAAACTAAATTCTGAAAAACAGACCTTAGATGTTGTTGTAGTTTCATGTTAAGATCACAGGTTATATAAATATTTCATTACATTAATTTGTTAACTGTATTGCTTGTTCCAGTTCTAGTTTTGTCTGTAACCTTATTCTGAAGCAAACAGGCTACAGTTAGTAGTCCCCCTTTAGCAAGGCTCATTCAGTTAGCAGTCATTCTTCATCTTGGTAACTTCAAAGAATCTCATGCCAAGAATCAGAGCCTTGCTTTAACTATCAGCAGAGCCAACTCCTGCTAATTCACATAGATGCAGACAGCAATGGTAATACCTTATCTGGGATAAGGATGTGAAGTATGATAACATCAGGGTGGTCAAGCAATCTGCTGGGGCATCACATACCCCTTTCTAATGGGAACAGTAGAAGGGAGGCACGTCTCTTCCATTACTACTACCGACAGTAATATTGCTGACAACAGAGAGATTTACAAGGAGTGCTCTGCTTAAAGCTTTGCCTGAAGGGAATTATGGTAGTTTCAACAGGAAGTGCACTTCTAGCAGCTTTTGGAAGGGAAACACTCTTGAGTATGGCAGTAAACACAGATCTTGGAAATGGAGGTGGAGTAAGTTTGTATGAAAAGTTGTATGTCAGAAAAGAAATTCCCTTCTCTCAATTTAAACTGGATCCTCTGGCTTTCATTGTGACTTCTGTGATGGCAGTTTTGGAGAGCTTCCACTGGCAGATGTCTAGCTAGAAGGAACAAAAACCTCCTCGTAATCACAGTTGTTGCCAGACCATAGCTGAAATACTTCAGGTAGTTTGAAGAAAGTCTCTTTCATTTGCTACTGAACTGCAAAAATGGCTTGCTGGATGCAAACTGACTTGAAGCTTGGCTTTAGTTGAATTTCTTGATGCTAGGCCTACCTTTGTAAGTTTGGTTTTAAGTCAAAACCAGAAGGAATGTTTAAGTTACCATCTGAAATGACTTTTTTTCCAGCTTGCTAAAAAGCAGAAGTTATCCTGTTACAGTGTTTCAAAGAATTCCATTAACTCATCTGCATTAAAAAGCTTTTTACATTTTGATGACAGTGTAGCCTGATGCATTATCTTTCTTTTTTTTTTTTTTTGTTCCACACTCCAAAAGCTGTGTAGGTGACCAATGCTATCCTATATCTGAGTAATACCTGGCCAGCATTAGTGTCATGAATGCTATCCTATATCTGAGTAATACCTGGCCAGCATTAGTGTCATGATGTCCATAGTACTTACCAACTTTTTTGTATTAGTTATTCAAGTTGAGCTGGAGACAAATCAATATTGGTGCCAGGAATAACATTGGGTCCTATGCCATCCACAAGAGAATCCCACTTACTGAAATCTTTCTTAAGACCTACAAAATATGGGAGGAAAAAAACTAAAATGAGTTAAGGAGTCAAATTTTTATAAAGATGCACCTAAAAAAAAGCCTTCAGTAATCCTATAATCTGATTTTTATTTCATCTTTATAAATGATACAACTCAGCAAAGTATGGGAGCATTATGTTTTACGCAGGAAAACTGACGCTCCAGTTCTTGCATGTCAAAGCAAATATACTAAAACTCAAAGCAAATATACTAAAACTCAAATGTTCCTCTTCTGTGTAACTGAGATTAAAGAAGTAACTCTAACGAACCTCTAGAACAAGACTATGAATCGGGTGGTGGTTCTTAAACTCTTCTGTGAGTTTTCAATCCTGTTCTAAACAGAATGATTATATATATAAAGTCTCACAGTAATTGAGCACTGAGTTACTTCATACTTAAACATAGATACTTACGCAGATGTTTCTGCAAGAAGGCTAATGAAGCATGATTGCTAATATCAATAGCTTCATTTGGATCTATTTCTCCTTTTAATTTGAAAAATCTTCCAACAAATTCTCCACTCACAAAGGTAAAGTCAGGAAAGCTCTGATGTACTGACCCCCTGTGAATAGAAAATGGTTAACAGCCTCCTAAGAACAGAATCTTCCAATTAAAAGATGACAGCAGTTGCAAAGTTTTCTTCAAAGACAGTCAGTCACACATCTTATCTGCTAGAAAATAATAGGCATAAAATAAAGCAGGTTAATTTCAGGAACAGGAGTATGCAAGATTAGCAATAAACTGTCCTAGCCACAGAAGAGAGGACAGTTTTGTACCTGCTGCTGTAAGTCACTGGAACTGCAGTAGTGATAAAAGAGTAGGCTTGGCAAAACTTCAAGATCATCAAGTTGCCTCTCTGTTGTGAGTATAGGTGAATTATATGGGAGTCCGTTCCCCGTAAGCTGTGCTTTTACTAGTTGAGTGCACAACTGCACCCCAAGTTTATTTAAAGTGTTCAGAGATTATGAATGAGGCTCAGAGTGAAACTTGTGCCCCAGGGCAGGGGTATGCACCTTGGAGTATCCTAAACTTAGGGTGACTGGCTGCTCAGGGATAGGTCTCTGTCTCTACTATTGGAGACATATTATCATCTAATTTAAACCTGCAGTGAAAGCCTGGGCCTCAAGATAGCTGTGACTGCATTCCTTCTGTGCGGGTATATGCAACTACTTGCTTGAATAGCTCCAAGAGAGCAGGTTTTACATGCAAAGATTTGTCCCCAACTAGGGAAAGGATGGATTCCTGAGACTTACTTGATAGTGATCATTTTCTTGTTTGTGTCATTGGAGCCAAGCTTCTTCATCTTTAAGATGTTATCAGCCCACTGGAATTTTTCAGAGTTGATAAAAAGCAGTGGTTGTTGAACACTGTTTTGGTAAATGTCATCACCTACGGGAAGCATCCAAGCATCCAGTGCAATGCCACACCTGTCAAAAATAAAAGAAGTTCTGGATATTGTCACAGAGGTGGAAAGCTTTGTGTGGAAGCTTTGATTTGCAGTAAAGGTGGGAAAGAGAAACTGTGTATCTAGAACACTAAACAGGAAGATGGGTTTTTTTTTTTCAAAATGGTTTCTAATCTGGGGGAAGAGTAGTAGCCAATCATTTCATTTGCTGGTCTCCTCTGCTAGCTGCAGCCGGGCAGTGGAGCTTCCGCAGGGTCACACAGTATCATGGTAAAACATGATACAGCTATGTTCCAGTTCCCTGAGTTCAAAGAAACATGACTTGAGAAAATGGCACAAGGCAAACAAAACTTCTCTTCAAGAGCTAAGTAGTGGTTGAGGGGATCTTAGGTAGGGCCCTTTCCCCTCCGCCCCCAACCTCTCAAGGGCCAAATGTCCCTTGCCTTTGTTTTACATACTTACCTGAATCTAATTTCTTTGCTGAGACTTTCTATAACTGTAGCACCACCAAAAGAGTGTCCCATCACAGCTATTCTGCTAGTATCAACAGAATCCTGTTTAAAAAAAAAAAAAAAAATCCAGACGCTCTAAGAGACTTTCTTTCCCAACCTTTTCTTTGTGGAATAATTTTTTAGACACCAGATCCTACTGAAGTAGGAAGAGTTTGATTCCAGCTCTTACCAATCTATCTATCCAGCTTGAGGTGACCTGAAAATATGTTTATAAATGTGATCTTCAGAACAGTATACAGGAACCAGTTTAGAAATGGAAGAGGGAAATCAGAAACATTATTAAACTTTTAACAAAATGAAGTCACTGTCTTTCACTCACCTTTAGGAGATTCCAGTCAAAGTTTGAATTAAGTACATTCATTACTTCCTCTCCTGAATTAATTTCAAGAATTACATTCAGGGCTTTGATACACTCCTGTGCTCTTTGTTGCACCTAGAGAGGGAGAGAAGACAGGACAAAGCAGTGGAATTGCCAGACAGCTGCTAAACTTGCAGGTCTTTTGGACACAAGATTAGTCTGATTTTTTTTTTTTTCCCCTAAGTGACAGATACATATGTAAGTACTACATTGAAACGTAGCCTTGATATATATAACGGAACTCTGTCAAGTTTTGACAAACAGCAAATCTGACTTTTGGTGGTCAAAGAGCTTAAGCTGATCTCCTACAAAAGGAGGCATTTCTATCCATGACATATGCCAAAGACCTTCAACTCCTCCATCCTGTCACTGAGAGGTTGTGGGGGTGTGCAAAGGTATGAATTACACATAGTCAAGGAAAGCTGACTTGCGGCTCCCCCTTGTGCTCGCTTCGATGAGCAAACATCATTACACCACTTGCCCTTTCTGCGTGATAGCTTTGAAACTTGTCTTTGCGCTGGATAAACCCAAAATAAGACCCTGTCTCAGAGCCCTTACTGTTCTATGTACATATGCATTCTTGAAAACTGCAGTAAAGCTGTTGCAAATACTGGTTTTAAATGTTCAGTATAAGCAGTGGTGCTGATTTTGAGATTTTAATAAAAAGAAAAGCATCAAAAAGAATCAAAGAACAGCAGTGCTCTGGGTGATTCACAAGGTTTAGACAGCCAGCAAAATGTCTGTGCGTCACTGAAGTTCAAGTAAATCTCTCAGAATTGAAACTCTTCACTTTCCCCAGTAAAGTTTCCAGGCAACAGCTTCTGTAGGCTATTTACAAGCTTGAACATTATGTATTTAGGCTCATAACTAGGATGTTGCACGCACACAGGAAAGGTCACTTGTACTGGTGTCTGTATGGCTCAGTGAGATAAACAGGAACGCTCCCCTGGCTTTTGCTGGGCTTGCACTGGGTGGAAAAAAAATACTCCCATATTTCAAAGGGCAAGTCTCTGCTTGGAAAAGCTTGTCAGTATAGCCATATCATGTCTAGTACGGATGCTGCTTATAATCAGCGAGTCTGCATTTGTTTACATTGCTATAAACTGGGTTAAAGTGTATTGAAGATGACGAAGCAGTCATTCCCCTTAGAGCAGAAGTGATTCATCCTGCTATGCAACAGTAAACAGAATAAAAGCTAAAGCAAGCCCAAAGCCACACACAACATTTGAATTCAACTCCATGTCGCTTACAAATTGGGCCAGGCAACAAAAGTGTGAACACACAAAGAAACAGCCAGAACTGACTAAGCGTGACAATGCAACTTCATGGGAGAGCTTCACTGAGGAAGCAGTTTATGCTACGAATAAAGCTGTTGTTGGCTTTCACGTTTTCGGAACTACAGGACTCATGTGCGTTTTTATATATCTGCTGAGTCAGGTTAAAGAAGTATTTGGCTTCAATATAGAGTTCTCCCGGTACATGGAAGAACCTCCCTGCCCAAATATTATAGTATTCCCACAAACAAGCTACTTCATCCTCCCCAAATTCAACTTTCTATTTGGCCAACATCCCTTTCCGTAAGCAAAATAAGTAACAACTCCACCTGCACTCAGGGCTTTTGCCACTGCATCTTCATCCATTACGAATCATACCCAACAATGCTTTTGAACCACAGCTGTGCTGACAGAAGAATTGCAGACCTAGCAAAAGGAGCGAGTGTCCTAGCTTTCATCAGTCCTAAATATGTACCGTTCCTGCCTCACTTCCTAGAGGACAGATCTATGATGAGTACCTGTTTGTGACGCAAAGAACGTTCTTCTTCTCCAGACTTTAGTTTCCTGTAGTAGATCCACTCCTTCTCCATGTTCGATGTAGACTCTTCCTGTGGCTCAGACACAGACTTTCTTTTACAATAATATGTTGCTGAAGCTGATTCATCTCTGTAATACAGAAAAAGGTTATTTCTGAAGATATGTTCCACTTAGTTTGGGAGGAGTCATTCGACGTTTTATCCTTATCTCAAGAAATGCAAGCTCCCAGTTTAGTGCTACTGCAGTTACAACTGTTGTAGGCAAGACATTCTAAATAGGGAAGGAACCCCACCAAAAGTCCCACACACTATCCTCCAGGTTCTAATAATAAGAGAGAGAGGAAAATAGTACGCTTTAAGAATGACAAACGATATCTACCACGGGTCTTTTCAGTCAGGGACTTCACATTCATTTCCCGTTGCTTAGCTAAGATTTGAGCTACAGGAACCCAGGGGAGTTTGAAGGATATATTAGTTTTGCGTTTTTAAAAAAAAAAAACGTAAGTTTTACGTTACAAGAAGTAATATTCTGCCTCGTTAATTAAGGCCACTGTTGAGAAAAATCAACCCTCTTTAGTCAAACCAAGTATTTTTTAAACAGAAGATCTGAGACTTGCTGACAGTTTCTAACAAGATGAAATCATAGCAGTAGAACAATATGAGGAAGTCTGTTTCCATTAAAACTCAAAAGTATGCAGCATACACACCTGTGCTCCACAGCAGCTACTATAAAACCCTGAGAAGCCATCTCAATGCAAATAGCAGAATAGATAGTCCTGCAATCAAAACCACACTCTGGTTATAAACACACAACATAGTTATTTTTACATGGCTCCTTAAACATTGACTAAACCACATATGTGCTAGCTGTCATTCGGTATTTCTTGTTTTATTTTGTCAGCCAGTAGAGCATGCTTTTGTATGCAAGTCACCTAAGTGTCCTCAAAGTTCCACAGTACCTTGTTACTTTCTCAGTACAAGTTTAGAAGAAGTATGTTAATGATTAAAAAAGCAGCACATTGACGTTTTGCGTCTTTAAAGACCTGTCCAAATATTAACTAGCTAATCTTCACAGTAAATACTTCCATCCCTAAAATATAAATGAGAAACAGAAATGAGTAAACCAGTGCCTCTGCTTCCATTTACTGGCACTGACTGCAGAGGAGGCGTACTGATACTTAGCAGCCTGCTTTCAAAAGCTGTTTCGAGTGTATGGGAATCTAACCCCCTCTACTGAAAAGCTGTTCAGTACCATTCTTGGAAGGTGTGATCTTCATAGACAACAAAAATAGTTTGTTGAGAAACTGCAGAATTACCTAAAAGCTCCGAGTCCATGGGAAAAAACGAGGAGTGGGTATTTTTCCCCAGACTTGAAAGCAGCGTTTGATTTTGCAGGACAGGTTACCGAACCTAGATAAAAATAAAAGCATGTCATTACTACCTACATGAGAAAAAGCACTAGTTTCTTGGGGAGGCATCCTAAGAGTTTCTCTCACCACAGCGGTGCCACTGATCTCAAAGAGGTCACCTGAAGAATAAGTTACTACATCTTAAAATGCAGAAGACAAATGAGGATCTAGTTCTATGAATACTTTTTACTTGGCAGAAGACACTTTTCCTCCTCATCCAGTCCAGAGCCGAGCACAAGGCCTATGTATCTTTCAAACGCTAAGAGAACAGATTTTCAAGGATTTTTAGGCATCCTGAGTCTTGCTGATTGAATTCAGAGTTTATTATCTGTATGACCTTTGTACATTTGCAAATTTCTCTGTGGGATTTAAATCCTGCCACAGTGGATCCTGCCACTGATCCACACTCTGACTACAGGAAATCTCCCAGACCCTGACATTTGTAGCAGTCAGGGACTGCTGGTCTGGCTGAGGAGCTCAGTCACATTCAGTGTTGAGCCTTGCTACACAAACCCTTCCCAAACACACAGGCTGCTTCAGGAAAAAATACCTTGTAGTCCTGCAGCAACAACATACTGCCCCTACAGCAGTGAGGCAACTAACCTGCCTACAGCTCATACCCTCTCACTAGTCAATAAAAACATAAACCAGTCATACCAACATAGTATTGGAAAAGCCTTTCTCCCACAACTCGGTACATATTAAGGAAGTCAGAAAGTCCGTGATAATATTCCTTATCTGGAATCCATGGTGCCTCTTCATTATCTGTAGCATCGCAGGATGGATAATACAGGCGCAAGAAGCTTCCCTGGATTTAAGAAAAAATTGTTTTTTGTATATATTGCTGACAAAAAGGAAGACAAAGACATCTGTGACAAAGGCTTAAGATGTAAGAATGACAGTTCAAGATGTAAGAGAATCTTGTGAGAAAATTTTTATCCAATACAGGCTTTGATGCCAACCCTATGTCACTATCTTTTTGTGCCTGCAGTGAGCTAAAGTAGTATGATTGTTGGCATCCAGGTAGAGATGCACATGGCTTCTTCTAGGTTAGCCTATGGCTAATTCAAAACTCTCCATGTAATTGATTTATTAATTACAAACGTTCACAACCTCTTTGCTCTATTTCTTTCTCCATCTCGCTGAATCTTTTCCTTTGTCTTCCGCACTATACCTCCCTTACATCTGATGACACAGTTCAGTCCATTTAATGGCCTACTGCCTCCAGAAGGAGTGATGGTGTCTCCTTCAACCTTCCAGCTGTAAGCACTCATCGCTTTCTTTGCATCAGTGGGTCTCATGGAGCCCTTACTGAAGCAATTCAGCTTGCTAAGCAGGAGAAAAAATAACTAAACCTGCTAGACAGCAAGACAAGTTTTACTTGCAGACTAGTTTCTGGGAAGTGTGGTCCAGCAGAGAAGGTGTGGACAGAGTCAGAGGCATGGTCTCAACTCCTGTGGACATGGAATAAATTCATGGTCAGAGTGTTCCTGTCTAAACTAAGCAAAAGGATATTTCTATTGTCAGTAAAGCATTTTGACAGTTGCACAGCAAAGCAGTGAAATGCATTCTTTTGCCTCCAGCCTCTTCTTGTCAAGATGTTTACAGGTCTGCAGTGCTCCATCTCTCTAAATACAATTTTTTTACCTGTTTTTTTTTTTTAATCTATCTCCATTTCCTATCGTGGTTTTCAATCTCTTCTTACTGTCCAAATTCCAAATCTTCTTGTAAACCCAGCAAGCGTTCCACAATCAAGTGGACTCTCCATTCCCCCTTGCCAGTAGTTTTTCTACATGGGCCACAGCAATGTACCAATGTGCAGAGCAGAAAGGAGATCTCCCAGAAAATGAAGTGTGTGTAATTTGCATTCTTACTTCCTGGTTTGCAAGGGAATTTGCAACATACTATTAGAATTCACTTTCTGGCTCTTTTTTTTTTTTTTTTTTTTTTAAACAAGGTAACTCTAAAACTGCAAACAAGGCAAGAAGGTCAAAAAGAACATTACTTAAAATAAGCTTTGGAATAAAGTCAGGTTCTTTGAATACTAATTTATCAGTCTCATAAACAACGTGTACTACAAGCTTGTTTAATGAACGTTGTTTCCATTAACAAATTTAAATCAGCCTTTGACACAAACACCCTTACGGAAGAAAACATAAAAACTTTATCCATGCTGCTACTTATACTGTCTTGATCCCAGAATAGTCCCTCTGAATTTCCTCAAGTGACTAGCTGTTTACCAGCAAGGGAAAGAGCTTCATCATGTATCAGCTACAGAACTGCAATTATGAGGATTTCTTATGTAATAAAACCTATGGCCCGATTTCAGAGAGAGACTAATCATTTCTTTGCGTTCATACAAAGTAAGCACAGTAGAGTAGAGGAAAAACATATGAATAACCACTACACACCGATCACAAATCCTGCTATACCTAGCTAGCCTGAAGAGGAAAACCACAGTGCAAATGCAGGAGTGTTCTCATAGGAAAATGAAGAAGCAAGAGAATTTTAAAAGGAAACCCATAAGCAAGCTCATTAGTTAGCTCTTACTTTTCTCATCTTCTTATCATGGTGCTTCTCCATTATGGCCCTACCCAATAGCAGAATTAACATCCTGCTCTTTTACTGGGTGCAGAGTCTCCCTGGGAACCAAATGAAGAAGGGAGCTCTGCAGTAGCCGTGGGCAACCCCCTGGGTCCCAAGAGGACATAGTTTCTCTGTGGTATCTTGCCTAGGGAAATCGGAAGGCCAGGAATATTAGGGGAGGGAGGAAGTAACTTTCATGCTACATCGACGCTTGTAAATTTAACCAAGTCACGGTATGTTCCTGGGCATCAGAATGTGATAACCTGAACTGTTAAATAGCCAGACTGGTCCACGGCATGCCTCTGCCCTGAGTCAGGTTGGCAGGCTCTCAGTCAGTTCCTGGAGACACGCTATTTCCTGAACTGTGCCCAAGACACGTCCTGCTTTGGGATGGAGAGGAGAGAAAGCATGCTTAGCTGCGTAAGCATGAATCTTGTAGTGCCTCTGCAAACAAAGGAGGTCGCCTGTTTATTTCATCTGTAAAACTACAAAACGTTGTCAATCCAGTGTTGTGACTTAAATCAAAAGGAGGAAGAATTGACTGCTTTACCTCAGTGGCGTTTTCAGTCATCAGGTCTGTACATCCAACGGAGTGTGGTCCTTTTCCTTCAGGGATCCTATAAAACTTCTCAGTGTTGCTGGTCCCCATTTCTTTTGGCACCTTAACTGACAAACCTGGGGAAAAACACAAAGCAAATCAGGAGACTTCAGTGTCCTTTTTGACGTTTGTAATTAGATCATCTACGCTGAAAGAAAATGCAGTGCCCTAAAGGTCTAGGACTAGGAAAATCAATGTTGAGTGATAACCAGGTTTATGAGAAACAGAGATCTGAAAGCTCGAGTCATCCAATCTTACTTGCTCTATGAAAGAATTTCCTCAGAGCAGAGGGGCCCTTAGTCCTGAGGCTCAGACAGCACATTGCTCTTGAAACTGCACCAAACAGAAATGCTTTTGGTCTCAGTACCCTGGAAAAATTCAAATTCAAGTGATGACACTCAACCCACTTCATTCTCTCCGAGTTCCAGCTGGAGGTTTCCTTCAGTCCGTCTCTGAGATGACTCTGCAGCATTAACAGGGCCTGTCCTGCCAGGACACAATTGTGTAAGGAGTTATGTTTTCAAGCGTGCATCACTCAGCAGATAAAAATTGCCTGTATTTAGAATCCTTTTGTCCGTACAAAAAAGAGAACTTCAGACCCTGGGGCCCTTTGGGAGTTTTAAATGCACTTATTTTAATAAAAAGTTATAGATCTTTCCACCTCTGGGCTCTGGCTGGCTTAGGATGGAATCAACAGGGAGGAAACATCTGCATCCAGCGGTGGCACTGAGGGGGTCGTGTTGCTGTGGTGCGCGGCGGCAGTCGTCTCACTTCGCGGACACAAACAGGGAAGCATAATCCCGAGAGAGCAGCGGGTTTCAGATGTGAAGACAGTTCCCTCCCACCCAGGCTATGAACTAAAGCTGCTCCTCATATGAATGGCAGAGAGGGAAGCCTTGGCAACTCCTTGGCAAACAGAACTGGTACACACATCTGGTGGAGAAGGATCGCACGCAGAAGATAAAAATATTCTGCAGCCGTTCTTCCGAGAGGCACAAGGAAACCAGGACTCGATCACTGGCGAGAAGAGCAGAAGAGGCTGGCGGAAAGGACTAACGATCCCCGACACACACCTTGGAGTCACGCTTCTAAAGCGCCCCAGACGCAGCAGTCTCGCCCGGGGATGAGCCGAGGGCACAGAGAAGCGGTTATTCTCTGAAGAGGA